ATATTAAATAAACCAACCAAATTAAGCATATATATTGATAGCTGAGCCACCTCATCATGTTGTCTGGCTGTGAAATTATCATTTCTGTGTTGCAAGTCATTCGTTTCACTGTCCTGCCCTTCAGACGTCCATGTACTCCAGTGGCGACATGGCTGTGAGGGCGACATGTCTAACGGAAAACTTGAGTTCCACCGTGGCACGGATATGTACAGCTACGACGGAAAGGACTTCCTGGCCTTTGATGACGCCGAGGCCGTGTGGGTTGCCCTGACTAATGAGGCAATGCAGACCGTGAATACGTGGAATGGTGTTCAGGACCTGAAAGACAAGACCAAAGGATACCTGGAGAACAAGTGCATGAAATGGTTGAACAAGTTCGTGAACTATGGGGAAGAACAGCTAAGAGGGGCCTGTACGTATGAGAAAAATTCCTGTTTTTCTATTCATTCTTGCTACAGAGTACAGAAGTAGCTTTAGTAAAACAAGGACGACTCTGCAGGATGATGAAATATGGGATCAGCTGGTCTGATTAGAAATTATTAGGATTTATCTGCAGTCTGGCAAATATCTGTTGTTCACACTGCTGACAGAAAATTACTTGCATATTCAAAATGGGTGTCGTTCTCTGAGTTGTCATGGAAACACATAGGGCTGTATATTGGCAAGAGTCACGACACAGGAGTTATGATTTGATATATTGTGTTTGTTTTTTGTTTGTTTGTTTTGTTTGTTTGTTTTTTTTTTAATCAAATTTTAGAAATGTCAGTGCTGCATAGTCACCCCGTAACCATGAGATCACTTCCTGTTTTCTCCCTCCAGCTCCTCCAGAGGTGTACTTGTTTACAAAGTGTGCCAAGGTTGAGACAAACGTGATTTTGACGTGCCTGGCCACAGGTTTCTACCCAAAAGACATCATCCTGCGCATCAGGAGGAACGACCGTATTCTGACTGAGGAGGATGGACTGTTTTCATCTGGCGTTCGACCAAATGAAGATGAGACCTTCCAGAGAAAAGACAGTGTGGAGATTTTGAGGAGCGACATATCTACATACTCCTGTGAAGTCATTCATAAGGCAACGAATATAAGTGTTAGGAAGGAATGGGGTAAGAAACCTCTTACAGTTTTCATTTGTTACAGTCTTTATACAGTGTTAACGTTATAGCTGAAGGCTGCCAGCGGCGTCTGAAATGACCAGCAGAGGTTCTTCACCACGGCTGAACCAAATGTAAATGATGCTGAAAGTAAACTGAACATAAAACTAATGTGTTTTCTGTGTTTTAGATCACACACTTCCTAAATGCTCTGAATCCCCACTTGTCGTCCCTGTCATTGCTGTGTTGGTCATTGTGCTGGTTCTGGCTGCAGCAGTGGTGCCGTTTGTCTTGTATAAAAAAGGCTTTCTTGGTAGGTGCAACATTGCTAGTATATTAGGTACTCTGAGCCAACATAATGCAGTCTAGTAGGTTTTACAATATTTCTAATCAGTTTTCAATCCAGACAGATAAATGCGAGAGGTGTATATAATGTTTTCTCCACCCCATACATATTAGTTATAAGGTTAAATTGAGTTTATATTGACTTCTCATAGTAGTCGTTATCAATTAAACCTGTTAGGAATGACACTTTGATACAGTGTCGTTCATTATAATCACACTGAGAGAAGCACATTGCACATTGTGTGGTGTGAGCTCTCAGTTTCTTACATAAAACTAAATCACACGTTTGTGCTGGGGGCAGTTTCTGCCTCAAATCAGCTGTAGTTTTTGTTGTTGTGTTTTTAACATTTAACAGCTGTAACATCTGTACACTGAGTTTCACATAGATCGTTGCAGAGGTAACTGAATAGATGTTTTTGCAATGAAATGAGTTTATCTGTGTATTAACTTCTATATTCACAGGTGCCCTACTTAAGGTTGTAGTTGTTCCTCTAGTTAAATGCTTTATGTCTCTGTTCATTGACAGTTGTAAAGGTCCTGAGTCCAGATTACATTTAAAAATAGATTATTTAAGGAACATATTTTTAAAATACACATTCTAATCTTAAATTCATCCTCTGTTTGTATAGCCCGTAGACCCCAAGTGGCCAGTAACCCCCCTGCAAATGGAGGTAAACGTTCAGCCTTACATATTTAATTTGTGTATTCATTTTTTAAGATACCGTCATATTATTATTGATTTTCACCATTTTAATATTAATCATGTTCACAGATGTTTAAATTTGATTGTTTTCAATGATGTAGCCTCTGTAGCCGTTTATGTCCCTGTAACCAACATGCCTGTATAGCCTTAGTGATATCAATGAGCACAGTATTCATGTCTGTACTGTTACATTACAGCACTTTAATGCAGATTTGTCATTTTCCACAAGATAAGAGCTCTTCTCTGCAGCACAGACTTTGTTCTTAAATCTGTTCTTGCTTCTTTACTGTATTTTAAGGTTTAAAAAACCCCAAATATGATAAGTACAAGTGTCTACAGAGCTGTGTACATAGATTCATACACGTTCTTTTCTTCACAGGGTCAAAAGATACTCTGGGCAGTGATGACTCTGGTGGTAGCTCTGGTGGTAGCTCTCGTGGTAGCTCTCGTGGTGGCTCTGATGACTCTGGTGTGGCTGGTAAGTATCGCTAGCCCTTTTCAGACAGGCACTGCAACCCTAAGCTTGTCTAGACATAATCTGGAGGAGCTATATATGAGAACACAAATGTCCAAATCAGCCAAACATAAAAACAGTTTGATATACGGTATATAAGATTGATATACAGTATTTGACACACAACTAAGACTAAATCTTGTTGCGCCATCCTCCTGTTGTTCTCTAATCTCTCTGTGTTGTCAATATGTTCATATATATTGATGATGCTCACATTGATGAAAATGTTTTAAAAATTCATAAAAGTTTACTTGTTTATAGCTGATGGTTATTCAGGGACGTCAATACAGAGTTATTGTGTGTCATCTCTTTACTCAATTTCAATATTATTCCTAAAGGTTTTAGTCTTTTTTTGTAAATGGCTTAAATGTTAATGTGTTTATCTTCCTCCTCCTTGATACAGTGGAGGAGAAGGGGATTTTGGTTTGAAAACTACATTCTAGTTAGGGCTGCACCCCGACTAAGGGTTTTGTCAGTCGACTGTCAGTCACTCTTCAGTGCCCCTATTCGTTCTTTCATTTAACATGTATTTATATCGTAGACTGTCAGACAATCAACTGGTATGAATTTCAGTGATGATTGCGACCACAACTGGGGGAGGCAACAGTGTGGTGGGTAGAGCAGTCGTCTCCCAACCAGAAGGTTGAAGGTTCGAATTTCGGTGCCTGCAGTCCAAGTGTCGAAGTGTCCTTGGGCAAGACACTGACCCCCCCCCCTAGTTGCCCCCCATGGTTAGGACCAGTTGAGTTGGTGTTAGCTTCCTAGTCCTTGTGTTTAACATACTTGGTAAGTAAAGGTGATTATCCGTATCCTTATTAACATCGGTATTTAAATAAAATGGAGTTTTCACAACCTAAAGCATGCTCTTGTTAAAACATTTTCAGATGTATAAACATGAATAAAGCCATGACCTGTGGGGCTGCCATATGGATTTGTGGGATTAATGAGACAGGCAGCACAATGGTATTTCTGCTGAAACAGTGCTCTTATAGGCTGGGTTTCTTCTGAGATGTGGTTATAGCTGAGTTTACCAACAAGTTTAAACTTCTCCCATCAGTTAACCACAGCGCTTGTTCTTATGGCACATTTGATGTGCACCAGCTCATGCTGCCAACAATTCTTCTTATTTATAATTCCTCATTGAAATGTTTTCCTCGCAAATTTTTGTTAGCTTCCTAGTCCCATTTGGATGGATGCACACCGCAGAAACAAATCTCACCTTCATGTGGCTTGTCCTTGTGGGTTTTGTTGTGCTTCTCTTATCGTTCTGGAGTTTGCTAAATACATTACTGACCTTAATGTACATCCATGTATCAGTGTCACTGTTGAAGTGGGTGTCCCCCTGCCCATAGGGGGAAGCACTGAGCAAATTGCTACATGGAACACCAAAATGAGAAGAAGAAGATGAAAAACTACCAGCTGGGGCTACCATATATTGTAATGCACATGGCCTGAAAAAAAATAAAATTAAATAAAAACAATCAAGGACTCAACTAGAAGAGTCTCGGCCGACTGACAGGTCTCTGGACTAATAACTCAACTGTTAGGGGGCTGCCCTAATTCAAATAAGTGTGACCAGATTAACAGGAACACTGTTTCTAGGAAGACAAAGTATATAAAAAGGCAGAAGCAATGAAATCGGTATTAGTACTGGAAATTAACATATGTGTTGATTCCTGCAGGCTGCAATGGAAATAGGGCCACATGAAAATCTCCACAAAAACCATCGTTACCATCAGCCGCACTGCTTCTGTGGAACTAATGGAACCTGTTCAACAAATCCATTTACTTCTGGGGAGGGGAGAGAAATTAAAGTGGGAGTTTGAAAACCAGAAGAATAATTCAACTTTAACAGTCATGAAGAAGAATGAACAATTGAATAATCCTAAAAGAGACTACATTGGTTTTTTTAAAGTGTTTTCCAGATTAAATACAATAAACTGGCCTCAACCACATTGGGAAATATGTCTAAAAACATCAGTGATGAGGATGAAGATTAGCAGTAAAAAGGCTTTGTAGCTGTAACGTTTCAGCAGTGAGCCTGAACAGTGTAGTAGGGGGTTTAGGTTTGAACTTGTGTGATTGTTTGAAGTGTTGAAATTGCTAGAATAAGACGTTGTCACACTCACTTTGTCACTAGGAAAACAAACATCACCTTTGAGAGCAGTGCTACCTGAAGTCATGGTTCAAAGAACTGGTAATGCTGTGAATAATGCTTGTTGGATATGGGTTAAGAACTCGCAAGTCAGGTGGAGAATCAGGAAAGCATTTAGAAAAAAGTAATTTGTTATAAATGAAACAAATGTAAAATTGGAAGAAGTCAAAGTATTTATTCAGCGTAGAGATCAGACATGATTAAAGGTGGTTGTACTGCTTTCAGAGAATAATTCAGGAAAAGCCTCTTTATGTTTCAGACCTCATTTTCATGCAGAAGAGGCTTTACAATTTACTAGAATTAGTCACAGCTAAATTAGACATTATGTGAAAAGTCTGAAGTGAGATCATAGAGAAAAAATCTGAGCTAAGGAGCTTGTTCTGTCCTCAGCACACAGTCGGGTTAGTGAGTCTTTAATAAGCACTCAGCGTGGGTGGGTTTAGAGAGGGAGGAAGTGTAAAGGGGTCGGTGTGGGTCTTGGTAAACCTTAAGTACATTGGATGTGTATGTATATGTACGTAACCCGATAACACGTTGATCAAATCAGCTGAATAAAAATGCAGAGAAGAAATAGGTTTAAAAATGGTTCAATATTGAACACTCACATTGGTGCCTTTTGGCTTATTTACTTCAAAAGATGTGATGTTTGATGTGGATGTGATTTTAAAAAAGTTCTTGATGTATTTTGGGCCAATTGAGGGATTAACATGGATAATAATCATAATCAATAATCAACTCTTGTTTTATGCACTTAATGCTGTCTTGTAAATATGACTTTCATTTTTATTGACGATAAAATGAACTTTCTGTCAAAATGCATTTTAGCAGCAGTTCATGTGTAAGTTTAGGAGAGAAATCTGAAGTTAAGCATGTTTAGTTTATTTTTCTTAGCCTGCATGTGTTCATAGTGGGAATTCTAAACAGTTGTAAAGAAATTGGACAAAATGCAATATTTGAATAATTGCACTAAGTATTATTGGTGAAATGGGGTGAGTTTTCTATCTTTGGATAAAAATGATTAAACAAGAGTCAAATTATCAGTTCAAGAAGTCTGTCAATCCACAAAAATTCTTTGAATTGTTTCATCTTAATCTTTTTTGTTTGATTTGTCTGTTTTACTAATTGTGATATGTTCATTTGGTTGTTTGAATGTCTCCTTCTATTAAATAAATAAGTCATTTAAATGATTGTTGAATTAAAGACTTGTTTGATGAGCTGTACTGTAGGAAAGATTTACCAGTTCTATGAAGAGTAAATATGGCGGCAGGAACTGACTCTCCTGTGTCCTGAAAGAGAGTTTTCTGAAAACCCCAGAGCTGATGGAAACCCAGTTTGTAATCAGAGTTAAATTTAATTGATATCTCATTGAACGATTAAAGTGAAATGTGTTCCATCAGCATGACAACAGGAATTGACTGTAAAATTTCTTAAGACCTGAGAAACTCCTCAGACTATCCCTTTAAAAGCCTTACATTTTAAACCTGTCACCATCCTTTATCACAGTGACCACAGATTGTACTGAGGTTCAAAGGTAACTTATGATCTGAGGTCACCCACTATGTCAGCGATGAGCGGCAGAGCCACCCGACAGCCACCTCAGTGGGTTTCATCACTTATATGGGGGCCTTATGGGCGGGTACCACCATCCTGAGCCACTTGATTCTGTTCCAGGCGAGAGGGTCCACAGGGAGGCTGGACCTACAGCATCAAAGACTCCTGCAAACCCAAAGACAGTTTGGGCAGATTGGGTTTGTGTGCCTTGGAATGGGGCCTCTAACCCTGGCAGCTTTACTAACTGGTCTTCACTGGACTGTAACTGGGCTGCACTGCTGCTGCTACGATGAAGTTTATAAAACAGGTAATGAAAGTAGCACTGCTGCTTCTGCTGCTGCTCACCAAGCCTCAGCAGGCCAATGCTTCACACTCAGAGGCGCTGCCAAGCTGTGGGCGTCAAGAAAAGGGGGTACAAAGCTGCTGTACAGCCTCATGATAGGAAGGCTTCACGAGGAAGAGTTGGGAGGTGTAGACAGCATTAGGGTGACAGGAAGCCATCTTGTTTATTATTTATTTATTAATGAGTGCTTAAAGTTCCAGCCTGAAGTTGTCCAGTCATTTGAAAACTAGAACATTCACTTTCAGCTGTGATACGTGACTCTAGATCGTACTATATTAATCTATATTATACAGGTCGAAATGGTTCAGAGCCGAGATGATCGTTGTCAGCAGGGTCTTTGTGTGTTTCTCATTGTCTGCTGAGTGGAGCCATGGATGAAACATAGGGCGCTGAGGTGGAGCCGCTGGAGCAGGTTTACGCTCTGCTGGCTCAGGACATCTACAGACACCGACACAACTACAACAAGATGCAGCTCATTCAGGTACGATGACCACACTGAGATTTGTAGAGTTGTATATTGTCCATTTTCTTCAGCAGTACCACAGGAGTGTCCACAAGCCAGTACAAGTCAAAATGACTTATGAACCTTTTCAGCGGCAAACAAGTTTACAAGCAGTTTATCTGTGAAATGAAACAAAATAAAAACTAATTTAAGGAAACAATATGAGCAGTGGGGATTTCTGTGGGTAAAAACATGCTGTCAATGTCTCTCATATATTTATCTGCTGTGAGGTTCCAGGTTTGCTCACCTTTCATTTTCCTTGTCTTCTTTTTTTTTAAATACAGGAAATGAAGAAGGAAATCGATGGCTTCTCCTGAGCTCTGCATTCAAATGTGAAGTTATTGCTTGTTTTTACATTCATGAAAGAAGTATCAGAAAACCTCATTTAGATTATTTATAATAGAATATTTAGCAGTGTGACCAGTTTAATTTATGACCATGCAGAGTGTAATTTGTTTTATCATGAAGTAAACTTGAATAAGTGTTTTGTGGTGTAGTTCTACTCACTGTCTTGTTGTTTTCTTTGCTGTGGCCAGTTGAGTTGCAGCAGATATGTCACTCTGTTTTATGTCAGTGTGTTAATGTTGTTCTCAACTGATCTGGAAACAGAACTAAAGATAAAATTAAACACCTACACATGCATTCACATCTGTACCAGTGGTGCAGTGACACTACCATCATGTGAAAGTTGCCAGCTGGTTTGGTTCACATGCTACGTCTGACTGCAGACTGTGTTTGGACTGTTTAGTATATGTAGTTTTAGTATGGAAAAATCAAGGTTGCAGGATTAAGGACACTGGAAATGCATTACATTTAGAACCACTGAAGGTTTGACTCTTTCTGTTCACTGTTTATCTTTTGATATTTGTGCTTAATATGACTGTTTGACTTTGCTCTGAGTTTAGTTTGGGGTTTGAAAATGTTTGGCTTTCATTAACATTTAATCCTCAGTGCATCACCCTGTACTTTGAATACAGTTTGTATGGTTTTGAGCTCCTTGCATAACATTAACTCATGCTTAGACTTCATTTCAGAACGAAATGCCTTTTTTATTCTACTACTTTTATTTCAAAGCTGTAGTTACAAGTTACTTTGCAAGCAGCACTTCAGCATTTTAAAAACAAATTATATGATGAGCATAAAAAAAGAGGATGATTTTTCTAAATTTAACCTCCATCATGGACGGGTTGTGGGCACAGACATAAAAGTCCCCCACCCTCCCATTACAAAAGATGCGCTTATCCCTGCATCTCTCTGTGAACTTTCCAACAAGAAATGTTGACGGCAGTTTTAAACACAGGGTCAAGCACAAGGGCCCCCGGCCCCTCGGACCCCTGTGCCTGTGCCCGTTTGGCCCAGAGTAATCAGACCCAGCCAACAGTGTGTAAAATAGTTCAAACTGGCTTCACGTGTACAGCTGCGTCCATGTTGTTCCATATACAGTATGTACAGTGTATCTGCTGTGTAAAAAGCTGAATTTGCTGCTAATACTTTTACTGTAAGTCAGATTTATATGCAGAACGTTTACTTGTAATAGTATTTTTACAGTATGGCCTTTCTACTTTTACTTAAAGGATCTGAGTACTTCTTCAACCACTGTAAATACATAGGACCTCAGTGTCTTTGGTTCAGTGTTATTATAACTTCTTGCATAACAGCAGCAGTACAGGGTGTATTGGCCTACTTTAACTTGATAGTACACTGCTGGAAAACACTCCTGTCGTGTGTCTGTGATGTAACGCGGCACATGAACCTGCTGCCCTGATCTGAAAAAACAAATACATCTGTCAAACTGACCTCAGCGCAGTTTTTACAGAGACACCTTCACAATAAAGGCCTAGACCTGGTCATAGTAAAGGTACCACAGTACAGATAGCCGAATATAGAACAGAGTATACATTTATTATCATAGCATTACACCAAAGGCTGGCTGTGAATCAGAAAAGCAAAAATATGAAGTGATAAGACTGGACTTGTCTGACTGACATGACTGAAGACAATAAAACTAAAAAAGTAAGTCACGCCACTGTTCGTGGACTATAGAGCTCAGTTCCATCATGGATGAAACTGGGCTATTGTATACGTCTATACTGTAAATAATCTAAGGTGTAACACTGATACAGTTAGGATGCAGCTAATCAATTTAAAGAAAATGGTTTAAAAAAAATAATTGTGAGGACAGTCCTGTGTTGTTGCTGAAGAAATGTCAAGGGGAAAAAAATCATATCTTGTGGCTAGAAGAAGCACAACTGGAAGAAAAATTGACAATATAGAAGACTCAAAACTGCAATATCAACATGGCTATCAAAACCAAAAGCACTGGCTGAGTGAAGATGTTAAAGCTGTAGCTGAGCTCTAGTTGGCCAGCTGAGAGCAGGTGACCTCCCCGCACCTCTGGGGGCTGGCAGGTTTAAAAACATCTGGGAGGACGGGTTGTGTGAACTGGGAGAAGAGGAGAATGAATCACATTTTCCCTTGTACTGTCGCTGCTGTGGGGCTTAAAGAACACCAATAGCAACTTATATGTATGAAATTCAGGAGGACTGGTGAAGAAAAGATGGAGCGGGTGTTTAACTCTAGTGTCTTTAAGTTGGCAGATTTGGTGTCTAAGGCCTGGAGAAAAGACAAACATTTTCTTATGTTTTCAGTGAGTCCCAAATATTGCATTTAACATTTGGAGCCTAGACCTGTCCAGGGTGTACCCCGCCTTTTGCCTGATGCTGGCTGGGATTGGCTCCAGCCCCCCCACCCCCATAACGAGTTCGGGACTAAGCGGTATAAAAAATGAGATGACATTTGGAGCCTAATAAAAAATAAATGATTGCTTAGTCATATGGTGAAAACCCTCTAGCATAAAATAAGAACATGAAAACTAATAACTGATCAATTCCAAATGAACTTATAGTGAACAGGTGGGGATGTTGGTGGTTTCTAGCAGAAAGTGTATTGCACTTGTCACTAAAATTGTGTTTTTCTAGGGACATTCTTAAATTTGCTGTTTTCGGTGGTAAGTTCATTGTGATGCTTTTCTTTATTTATTGTTGCTTTACATTTGTGTAAAAAAGTTTATTTGGTTGGTATTGTACTGTAGTTCGAGCTTTATTTTGAAATGTACAAACCGGATACATTTCTCGGCCGTTGCTCGCTTGTAGTGGCGGTATAAAATATGGCCATCGTCAGATTCGTTGAACTATCGGTGCCTTTTGTATTAACCTTTCCTTTTTATTAAGAAAGCAACAGAGTAAACAATGCGAGTCGTAGCGGCGGCAGACGAAACTAAGGCTAACGAGCGGTAGTTAGCTTGTTTCCCGGTCGTTAGAGCGGCTCTGTGTCCGGCCGAAGCAGATGGGATCCTCGGTGTATTTGGGTAAAAGGCGGAAGACTGCGTATGAGCAGACAGAAGCAGAGATGCTACACCGATACAGCCGCTAGCCAGCTAACTGTTTGTTACGAGATGCGGCTAAACGGGAGCCAGCTGAACAGGTAAACGCACACCTCGGGAACAGGGCACTGTTAGCGGGTTGTGTACACGGTTAGAGACAGCCTGAGACCCTCCGCCACTGGAACGGACCCGTTAATCATGACGTTGAGCTAGCTAATGTTAGCTAGGAGGATGTTGGTACGACTGCTAGCATGTTGTCGTTCCACTTTATCTCTATTTCTCCAGAACTGGAGCCATGGCTACAGCTAGCAGCTCTGTGTTTTTTCTGTGTGCTGGACAGGAAGTGCAATTTCTGCTGCAGCCCCAGAGTTCAGTGCAGGAGTTGAAATAAACAGTGGATCGTTTGTTAAGCAGGGTCAGGACTGTAGGCTTCAGACCTCGACCCAGACTGCAGGAAAACGTCTTCTGATGACGTTATCTTATCAGGTCGTCTTTAAAGGGCAGTTCCCCCGTTTTTGCTGGAGTCACACTATTTACAACAATCAGGTGTTTTTACATAGATCTCAGCTCAGTTTTTTAAAAGCATGCCACATTAATTTTGATAAGTAGATAAAGGTAGGCAGAGAAATGTTAATATAAGAGAAAGGATAAGTTATTACTTCTCCCCAGTTAATGAACTGTCAACAAATTCTCACAGAGTAGTGAAAGTGCTCTTCATGATTTCCAAAACTTGGTTACTTTTTGTCTTCAGGGATTAAAGATAACAGAGGAAACATTTCAGCTGACCACATCCTACTTTATGGAGCCACAACAGGAGGACTTGAACTGAGACAGCTTTAATACACAGCTAGACTGAACCTGAACCTCAGGATGGCGAGCAGGAGGAAATCCACCACCCCCTGCATGGTTCCTCCTCGAGAAGCCATGGACTCAGATCAGGAGATGGAGGACATCACTGATGCTGCAGAGCAAGAGAACAGTAATGGAGTCGCGGCCGCATCCTCGGAGGTTCCTGGTGTGCTGGAGGAGCAAGGTGAGGAGGCTGACGTCAGGCCGGTGTCAGACCACTACCTGGACTTGAACATGACAGAAGGAGGCTATGAGTGCAAATACTGTAGCTTCCAGACATCCGAACTCAACCTGTTCACCATGCATGTGGACACCGAGCATCCCGATGTCGTCCTAAACACCACCTACGTCTGTATGGAGTGTGACTACCACACCAAGAGGTGGGAGACTTGTGCTCTTATACTGCAAGTGTGTGAGAACAGATGCTGTGTTTTCTTTGTACACACACCAGCCAAATACTAAACCTCTCCTGGTCAAACCTGTCACTGTGAATCACCTCAGATTACAGCATCAGTCAGAGTCCCCCGGTTCGTTTCCAAAAATGGTCAAGTTTTTCTTTTTAATTATTTAAAGCATTTGCCATATTCAGATTTTCAAATGAGAGGGTTTAATAGATTTTCTGTATTACTGCATTGTAAAAAGAATTTCTTCAGCCTGTCAGGGCTGAATTTAGCCATGTGTGACCTAGGTGGGTGCTTGGGCACCACCATCTGGAAGGGCATAATGACAACGAAATCGTCAGAAATGAATTTCAGACACCACAGTATAATCCGCACCATGGATAAGACCCATAAGTGGGACACTGATTCTGTGTCAGCAGGTCTGAGAGTAGAGAGCTGAGAGAGGGAAAGTACAAATGTCCCACACTAATTCACAGGACTGAGTTGAGGACCACTTCAGGTGTTTTAATTCATAGTTGTCACCTCTAAATCCAGATGTTTGCTCCTGGAATGCAACATTAAACATGTTTATTGATTAGTAAACAAACATACCTGCTGTTACCTGTCTGGATTAGTTAAGAGAGATATTGCACGCAAATGCAAATATCGACAAAGCATGTAAAGATGTTTAGTTTGTGATTCAATGAACAGATTTAAAGCTCCATTAATCACATTTTATGTATTAACAATGAATCAAATGACTGTGTACAATGTGAAACTGGGTCTTTTTAGTCTCTTCGCTCCCACTGTGGTTAAATAGTAGCAACCTCATAAGACCTGTCTGTCAGCAGCTGTGACCTCGAGGCTGAGGCATATTAACGCCGCTTCAGGACTGAAATGAGTGGCAAAATCTGTTTACGATGTCAGCAACATGAACATCTCCGAGTGCCGTTCGTACCCTGCAATTAAACACATCAGATACTGTGAAGCTAAATTGGATTAGTCTACACTTACTGATGGGAATATTCACTGAAGCTGGTTGAAGCAGAATCATGTGCTAAAATTTGAACGTGGATTATGTGATGTGCAGAGGGTCAAGAATGGCAGGAATATCGTATGAGTTAGTTTTTTATTTTGAGGTGAAGACGTCCTTAGATGAAGATACTTATTTCTGATGAAAGAGGTATTTACCATGTTTCCTCTTCTCTAGTTACGACACACTGCTGGCCCACAACGCTCGTCTCCACCCAGGTGAGGACAACTTCACACGGACGATGGTGAAGCGAAACAATGAGACCATCTTTCAGCAGACGGTCAACGACCTCACCTTCGACGGCAGCTTCGTTAAAGTGGAGGATGACGAGGCGGAGGAGACGTCCCGCAGAGGCATCGCCCTCAGCAAGACCCCCATCATGCGGATCAAGAGCAGAACGGAACCCAAGAAGTTCAGCGCCGCACACAAAATGGCCGTCAATGACGTCATAAAGGTGGAAAGTGATGACGAGGACGATGAGAACAAGGAACCGCCAACACTATCTCCTGCCCCCATGACCCCTGCTGCTGTCACGCCTCGCCTCGTCCCTGTCTCCACGCCGGTGCAGGTCCAGGCTGTCCCACAGAGCATCGTGGTCAACAATCCCAGTGTGCTGCAGCTCAAAGGCGGCTCCAGCGGGGGGGGCATGCTGCCACCAGGGACACTGGCTCAGGTACTGTCAGCCCTGCAGAACCAGAACAGCACTCAGACCCAGACCCAGCTCCTCATCCCCATCAGCAGCATCCCCACCTACAACACAGCCATGGACAACAATGTCCTGCTGGTCAGCGCCTACAACAGGTAACTGCACCTAGAGTTCACTTCAGGCTCCAACCTCACTTGTGTAATACTTATAAATGGGGGACTGGTGTTTTTACAGGTTTCTTATTTTATGATTTTATTATTGTCATCAAATCCCATGAAAAAAACCAGACAGCTCCTTATTGTAGTTCTTATCAAGCCAACAGGAAGAAACAGCTGAGTAATGTTCTCAGTGTGGGTGAATCCACATCTCTAGTGGCAGCAGGACGGTGCGTGGGACTGAGTCAGAGCAAACTCTAGTGTGTGTGTGTGTGTGTGTGTGTGTGTGTGTGTGTGCGTTCATGCTGGTGAAGGAAGATTCCAGCCAGTCCAACGATGTGGCCACTGCTGGGCTAATGGTTTCTGGGCACAGTGTAGGATGGAGCGATGAGGCTGTGACACCCACAAGACAAGAGATGTGGAGTTTAAAAGCTGTGTGTGTTTGATAGGCAGGGAGGGACTAATGAAAGACGCTATCTAGTAGCATTATGGGAAATGTAGGACCCAGTGGATTTTGAGCTTTACCCATACCAAGGACTAAAATAAGGATAATGACCTTTATTGGCCAAGTATGTTACACACAAGGAATTTGTTTCTGGTACAGAACCGATGGCAGCCATCTGTGGCGCCAACTCAACCGATGGCTCTAACCATCGGGGGCAACTTGGAGGTTCAGTGTCTTTCCCAGGGACACTTCGACACATGGACTGCAGGCACCGAGATTCGCAACCTCTGACCCTCCGGTTGGGAGACGACTGCTCTACCCACTGAACCACAGTCACCCCCAAAGTTGGACATTTTAGTTGATAGAAAATTAACTGGCAACTATTTTGAGAGTATGATATTAATACATTTTAAGCCCACTGAAGTTATTAAAATAGGTTCTTCCTTGAATATTGGGCGATAGGAGACATGTTTAAATATTTATCTGTTTGTTGTGGGCACCCTCCAGCAAATATTGTATATTGCAGCAGTTTTGTTGACTGGAACGTTTAAGCTGGTCCTGTAGTTTCACAAAGAGAGGCAAAAATGACTGATGAGGCAAAATGGATGGAAGACTCGATAAGGCATCTGTTTGGCTGCGAGTATTTCACCAGTTTGGTCCTGGATCCAAAATGGAAGCAGCTGTCAGAACACACCACATGGTGTACACCTGACTCCTTATGTCTCCTGGTCTTTGTGTTATTCTGTGTTGGCAGCAGGCACCTACCTCACCATGTCACCCCTGTGTTGTTAACTTTGCTCATTTAACAGCTCAGTTTGTACAAAACTAACATTGCACACGCTGATTTTTGTCTTGCAGATTTCCGTATCCCTCGGTGTCGGAGATCACGGGCTTGTCATCACAGACCAAGTTCAGCGAGGAGCAGATTAAGGTGTGGTTTTCTGCCCAGAGGCTGAAACACGGAGTCAGCTGGACACCGGAGGAGGTCGGTGCTTCACGACACTCTCACACAACATCACATCCACACCCTGATTTAGGCTGCATTTGACACTTTGGTCCACATGTGACGGTTTCTAATTATTGTGAATGTCAACAGCTCGCTGTGTCACTTCTCACAAGTCGCATGCTTTTTCTCATTTGTGGCAAAAAAAAAAAAAAAAAAAAATCAAACCAAGAGATGCAGCCTTCTCGGGCAATTTTGACAATCAGTCTGAATTTGATTAGTCTGAAATGTGAAATGTGAAGTGTCATTGTTCTCGTGTCAGACACTATTGATTGTTTGTCATAAAAGATTGTGACTGAACTAACAGTGGAATGTGCTGCAGGAGGCGTTCACTGCTTATTCATGGAAGGCCATTCAGAAACACAAGATTACCACATGAAGCCATTGGGTTTTATTTTGGCTGGTCTCCATTTAAAAATGAGCAGCGACTGTGTTTTATTATCTCCAGCACTTTGGAACGAGCTGCGTAAGGCTGGCAGACCGCGAGCCGTTTGTCAAATCACTCCATAAAATTAATTTTTATAGACCTGCTGTAACACAATGATCTTTTTATTGAGGATGTGGCCTTTTTTAAGTGGTGCTGAGCCTCTCTCCAAGGTTTTTGAAACTGCGAGGGTGGCGGTTCATTGTAGTTCTTTATCATTTGCCACTTTGTGTGTCCAGTTATATTTTGTTTGCTTCACTTAGATGGTTCTGATGTCTGTCTCTGGTCAACCATAGTAAAGCACATTTGATTTGATTTGTTTTTCCTTTTAAAACCTTTTTATTTACACAGTGAGTAATGACATTTCTGCTTATAAACAACCTATTTACCATCAGATTGATACATCAGTACACACTGTATTTGACACACCTCTGTGGCTGCGTTAGTTCTTGATGTGCTGTGGCCAAACGATGTCGGGTCAAAGTAAATCGCATAGTCTTCATCAGCAGATGTAGTTGACCTTTTAAGTCAACATGTGCAATATGTTCTTAAATAGAAATGTAAGTTAAAATCCACTTTTTGAGATTGTAAATTACATGTACACTTCATAGTAACAAAAGTGTTTTGCCTTTTTCTAGAGAAAATCCAGTAATTCTGTTCCTCAGACCAAAACAGTGTGACATATCTCCAGTTTTAGACCTGCCCAGCTTGCCAGGTCCTGCAGTTACTCCTACGAGTAAGATGAAGCCCTCTGTGTTAATAGACCAGAACATTTAAAGCTCTTTGCTTCTGTTTGCAGGTGGAGGAGGCAAGGAGGAAGAAGTTTAATGGCACGGTGCAGACCGTCCCCCAGACCATCACCGTCATCCCTGCCAACATCGCTGCAGCCACAAACGGCCTGCAGTCAATCTTCCAGACATGTCAGATCGTCGGCCAGCCGGGCCTCGTCCTTACTCAGGTGGCTGGTAACAGCAGCACAGTGCCGGTCGCCTCTCCCATCACTCTGACAGTCGCC